CTTTTGTCTAAAGGACTGTGGGACTGCGGGGAATTGACAGAGGAGAACAAGTGCCTGGGGGTCACCACTCACCACCGCTCCCCACTGTGAGGCCCAGGGGCTGACAGCCCAGTTGCTGTGTCCCTGTGTCCTGCGTCCCAGCGTCCCTGCGTCCCCTGGCAACAGTGCCTGGTCCCCACCTGTTTTCCTCCTCCTCCAGCAGTTTGCGGTAGGTGGCTATCTCAAAGTCCAGGCCCAGCTTGACGATCATCAGATCCTGGTACTCACGCAGCTGCCTCACCATGTCCTGCTTGGCCTTCTGCAGGGCGGCCTCCAGCCAGGCCAGCTTGCCCTTGGCCTTGTCTGAGGTCCCCTCCTCCTGCAGGGCTGGCAGGTCCTTCTCTTGCTCTAGCTGGCTGGACTGGGGGCAGAGGGAAGATCACAGACCGGACACCCTTGGCCTCCACCCACCCCCATCAAGAATCCAGGCCTTTCTCAGAGCCTGGAGAGCCACGAGGGCTGAGAAAGAGCTTTAGAAACTGCAATTTTTTTTGGCCCAGAAATCCAGTCTTCTGGATTTCCTCCTTAAAAGTGCGATCTGGCAATACATAGCTCCTGCATAGCAGCACCTGATGCAAGGCGGTCTCCATATTCTGTTTATTCATCAAGAGGAGACCCATTCCTTCCCACGCCACTGCTCCCACCTCCCCAAACCGTGTCCTTCGAGGCTGAGACAAACAGGAGTCCTTGCCATTGATCACCACTTTGGTTCTGTCGTCATCCTGGAAGAGAAGCGGCGAGGACCTATCTCCTGAGAGGCGAGAGGCCGGCGGTCCGGGAGGGGCCACCTCGCTGTGCAGCTAGAGGCCACTGTGCTCATGGCCCCCCTTCTCCTTGGCACCTGCAGCCAGGCTTCTGGGTTTGCGTCTCAGGCTGCTCTGAGGAGCTATGTATTGCCAGATCGTACTTTTAAGGAGGAAATCCAGAAGACTGGATTTCTGGGCAAAAAAAAAAAAATGCAATTTCTAAAAATGGGTTCAGGGCCCTCCCTGTTGGCGGGTTAAAGCGCAGCACCATGAAGCTGCCCGCAACCACTGCAGCACGAGTTCGATCCCCAGCCCCGGAGGTGACCACATGGCTGGCAGACCTCTCTGACCCGCCCGCTGCTCCCCTCAGCAGTGTGCTTCGTCAGTCGGCCTGTTCTGCTCCCCGCTCTGTCTCTGGTGAATCCTCTCACCCCCCCTACACTTCTGGCCTGCACCCCAGTTCTGTATGCACAAGTAAATCCATCTTTAAAATAAATAAGTAATAAAAACGGGTGCAATTTTACTACTGAATAGAACAAAACCCACATACAAGTACACACATGCGTACAAAGAGCAAGCATGTGTGTTTGAACACAGATGCCTCCCTGTTAGTTTAGCCACGAGCCAGAGTGCTAGACAAATGGAAGTGTGAGAAGCACGCCAGCCACACTCCTGCTTGTTCACACACAGACACTGCCCATCTGTTCTAAAAGGGGGGGGGCAGTCCCGTTATCATAAATACCTGACCCCTTGCCCCGTCGACACTCTGCTGTCCCCCACTCCCACTCCTCGCCTGTCTCTTTGCACTGTCCACCTCCATAGTCAGCTGCTGGATGGCCTGGTTCAGCCTGTTCAGCTCCTCCTTGTTATGCCTCAGGCCCTGCATGGTGGCCTTCCCCTCTTCACACTGTGGGGGCAGGAGAGGAGGGGAGGGAAAGGGTCAGGGAGGTGAGAAGCGCAGGCAAGGGGCACTCAGCGGAAGCAGAAGGACATTTCCACCCGCTGTCACCACCAGGTCACTCAACTCCCCTGGGTCTCTACTTCCTCTTCTGTAAAACGAGCTTGATAGTCTCTCCGGCCCCCAAAAGACAGGTGGGAAAATGAAATGCACTGAGCTGGCAAGGCCTGTTCCAGCAGGCCTGGGGGTGCCCAGGGCAGACCGGACCAGGCGCAACAGACCACCAGCTGTGGAGCTGAGTCTTTGAAGTGAGATCGTGTGAACTTAATTCTGGGAAACTCTAGGAAATCAATGATTGAGGCAATGCACCCCAGATGGTCGCCTAAATCACTACGAAAGGCATTTAATAAACTCAATGGTCATTCCTAAAACTCCAAGAATATGAAAAAACTGCCTGAACGTGCAGGGATCCAAACACTGGTTCCTTCCCCAAACTTAAGGCCACCAGGAGGTGCCATCTGTAAGTGGCAAAGTCAGCCCCTTCACTTCTGCACCCGGTCCCTGCACCCACATCGAAGCAGCGTGACGCCGGCACAGAGCCTCACACTGTGTGACTCTGCCATGGCCCTGGGGCTCACCACACCTGTGAAGGAGCAGGTAGGTATTGCTCTAGCCGTCACCTCTCCTGGGGCAAGCTGACAGTCCGCTACGGTGCCATGAAGCAGGGACCCGCCAGGCCATGGCTGAGCCACACCCCGTCTTAAGCCCATGCTGCTTGCGCTGTGCCCGAGGGACATCGTCACACCCATCCTCCCACCCAGAGAACAGGAGCAGCTCAGGCCAAACAGTGCAAATATCTTTGTCGTAGGTGGGGTATGGAGGGACGGGTGTGAAGAGGCTGAAAAACACTGTCTCCAGAAATCTCTGCTGCATTGCGTCCCCCTTCCCTGAGGCCACCCCAAAGCTGTACACACAGCTAACAAGCTTATGTCTGGCTCCGTCCAACAGATATGGATGGAGCCCAAGACCCTTCATCCCACGTGACCCAAGGAGCCATGGGACAAGTTTCACCATGAGGAATGGAGTTGCCAGCACCTCCAAGTCTGTGGTAAGCACCTAAGCCTAGATCCAGCTCGAGGAGTTCCCAGAATCCTCACTGCTGAGGATGGGGCCGCTTGTCCTCGGGGCTTTGTGACCTCACCTTGTTGCGAGTGCAGAGTTCTGACAGAGGGTGAAAGGGACATTCTGTGAGTTCAGACGGGATAGAGGGCTCCTGGAATGGACACTGAAGGGCGAAGGAAAGGTCGTCAAGTGGGGAAATGAGCTGAAAGTTGAGATTGATGGAGTGGACAGTGGGAGCCACAGAAGGCACTTGAAGGAGACAGTAGCCTGATGGGAGATGCAATTAGGAAGGCCTGTCTGGGACAATGCGGAAGATGGACAGGAGGCAGAGAGGCGCGACGAGGGGATATTGTCCGTAGCTGAGCAGATAATCTGGAGCAACGACTCTAAAGTGAAGGAAAAGCAGGGACTAGACAGCACAGGCTCTTGTTTTATAAATTTCTCATGCATGCAAGAGTATGTGGAATTTACATTGACTGATTTAAACAGCAATAATAATAGAACAAATCCTCATGTACCCACCAGTATCTTTGAAGTCCCCGTGGGAAATGTTCTGATCGCAGCAACTTCCAACTCTGACTCATCTAAGCACCAACATAACTATTATCCAGGATTTTGTGTTAAGCGGTCCCTTGTTTTTCTTCATTATTTTATCTCTATATGAATTCCTAAATGTTTAGTTTTGCCTGCCTTTAAGCTTTATAGAAATAGAATTCTCTATGGGCTTGTATAACTCACTTTTCTTCTTCAATATACATGAGATTTATCCATTTCAATGTGTGTGGCTTTGTTCATTTTTCAGTGTTGTATAGTATTTTCTGATGTATTGGTATTTCTTCATTCTGCCATGGCTATCTATATGTGTGTATTTTTGTTTTAACAAACAAGGCTGCTATGAGGGTGTACATCAAAAAGAGTTCCTTTAGATTACTAGCTATCAAATGTTTTAACCATTAACCACAAGTCAGAATAAGTAATATATTTTGTTTCATGAATAAGTACCTATATAGAGACTCATGCATATAAACTGAAGTGCCTCCTGAAAAATTACTCAGTTCTACTATGTGCAGAGCACTCTGATTCTCCTTTAAAAAAATCACTCTATGATGGCACATGGGTGACTTGGTGATGGGAAACCCACGGGGATTACAATTGAGATGAAAAAAATGTACGAAATGATGTAAAAATGAACTATTATATTATTAAAAAATTTTAATGTAAAAAAAAATCACCTTCACACATTCACCTTTGTTTTCAATATGTAGCCTCATGTATTAAGTTAAATCCTTACAAATAGCATATTTCTTATATGATTTATTAAACAATTCTGAGAAAAAAGTACAAAAGCCGGTATTATGCTCCCTGACTTTTATCACAAAGCTACAGTTATCAAAACAGTATGGCATTGTCATTAAAAAGCAGGTACAAAGATCAGTGCAATAGAATCAAGAGCCAGGAAATAAAGCCTCACATATGTAGGCAACTAATTTATCACAAAGAAGTTAAGAGCATACAATGAAGAAAAAAAATTCTCTTAAATAAAAAAACTGAGCAACCACATGTAAAAGAATGAAATTAAACCACTATCTTTTACCACATACTAAATTCAACCCAAAATGGATTATATGGCCTCACTGGTGGCTTAGGCATTAAGTGCTATCACCACTGCAGCCTGAGTTAGATCTCTGGCCAGGGAGCTGACCCGCATGGCACAGCAGCCCTCTCCTGTCTCACCCACTGCTCCCCTCAGCAGTGTACTTCAGTAGATCTTCCTGTTCTGCTCCTCACTGGTGAATCCTCTCACCCCACAATCCTGTCTGGCCTACACCTTAGTTCTTCTACACTAAAATCATAAAAACTGGATTAAATACTTGAACATAAATCTGAAACCATAAAATACATAGAAGTTAATACAGTATTAAAATCCTCTGACATAGGTCTTAATGATGTCTTTGTGCATTCATCTCCAACAGCAAAAGAAACAAGAGAAATAAATAAGAGGTCTTCACAAAGATGCAGCCAAAATCCAAGAGGGTGGTCTCTCCCTCTCCCAAAGCCAAAACCTACTGAAGCTTTGAAGGCCAAGAAAGCAGTGCTGAAAGACATCCACAGAGACAAAAAAAAAAAGACCCACACATCAACCACTGTCACCATGGCTCTGAAATCAACTCCAATATCCTCAGAAAAGCCCCTCACCCCCACCCTGGGGGAAGAAGTCTGATCACTATGCCACCATCAAGTCCCCCCTTCACCTGGTCAATCATGAAAAACATAGGCAACATGCTTGCATTTGTGGAGTTCAAGGCCAGCAGCACCAGATCCAACAGGCTGTTGTGAAGAGGCTCTGTGACCCTGATGTGGCTGATGAGTTGTCTACCCTATGAACCAGGTTGGATAGAATCGCTATAGTACACATTTCTAAAAACTCAACTTGATCATTTTTCTTCTAGCTTATTTTTATTGCTATTTTGTTCCTTTATGCATAAGAAACATGCCCTCCTTCTCCCGACTCATTAATCCCAGCGTCTGTTGTCTTCACGAGGATGTTTCTGCTGACTCCAGTCCGGCTTTCATGCCTTATTAAATTATGAGCTCTTGTTTGCTGGAACACACTCTGACAATTCCTGGAGGCCAGGGTTTAAGAGCATTCCTCAAGAGAGGAATTTTGCTTTTGCCAGATTTGGGAGAGAACCATCCATTGGCATTCATTTTCCATGTGTTTAAATATAGGATTATGGATTTCCACAAGAGGCATTCACAAGGGAACACATGTGATTCGGAATTATCAGAGAAAGCTTTGCTCCTCTTTAAACAAGGCCTGGGTCAAAACATGTGCACACATTTCCTTCCTCTTCATTTCAGGTTCCTTTCCTGCTTCTCCTTTCCTGAGGAGGGTCTCATTTGTCTGGTTAGGACTTTTGATCCGACTGTCTCTTACACAGTCCCAGGCTTTGTGCAGTGTCTGGCAGATGGACACGCACAAGCACACACGGAGAAAACAAGAGCTTCCTGCAGCGAGGGAAATTAAGACAGGCCCCTGACAGGGAGAAATGTTCCCTGCGTCACCTATCGGCCAGCAACATGTGGCTGGACCCTTGCACCCTGGATGTCCACCCTTAGAGTCCAAATGTTCTTCCCACAGTCTAACTTCAGTCTCTCTTCAGAGCCAGAATGACTCCAGCTGTTCAGGGCACTGGCGCCTTCACCCAGCCTGTGCCGGAGAAGAAAGCATGAGAGCAGGAACGAGCTCCTTACACGGATCCCAGAAGACATCTCCTCACCATCTCTGAGCCCAGTCTCCCCAAGAATGACCCAGAGGTGAGGTCCTGGGGCCCCTATACTTCAGCAGCTCCCAACCCATCCCAAAAGAACCCAAAGAACAGGCTCTCCAGAACCCTCTAAAAACTGCAGCAGGACAGAGAGCCCCCCACTGCTCCCACACACCCAGGACAGTTGCCTCCCCAACCCCCACCAACTGGCGAGGTGACCTGCAGCGACAGCCCCCTGAGCCATGGGACCTTCATCTCTCATCTTCACCTACTTGCCTGTTTAGTTGAGGCCTCTCCTAATCAATGGTGTGCGGAGCATGGTCCCACCAGATTCCAGGCTTATCTCACCTATTTCTAGTCACCTCTACGTGAAGTGCAGTGGGAGCTTGAAATCATCCGCTATGGAAGAATTCTCACTACTGTGGCCAACAAGCACTATAAATCAAGGCCTTTTTTTTTCCTCAAAGGGCCAACTATTAAAAATTTGCCAACAAACCATTGTCCCTAACTAAATCATGCCGGGAGCCCACAGGAAATGAGGCAGCAGGCCTCAATTAAGACTATTGTCCTTAGCCTCTCCGTAGGGCAGGGAAGGGCCCGAAAGAGTTACAAGACTGGAACAGAAGAATGGAAGCCAGGGAGGAGAGCCACCACCCCGGGTCGGACCCCACGCCGGGCACACCGGCTCTCCTCGCCCTCCAGCAGGCGCCTGTAGGTGGCGATCTCGATGTCCAGGCCCAGCTTGGAGTTCATCACCTCCTGGTACTCCTTGAGCAGGCAGGCCATGTCCTG